CTATGGTCCGGACCTCCCGTCTCCATATTTTTCCCGTTGAGAACATACAGCCTGGCGCCCTCTGCTGGTACGGGCGTGTTTTGACCCCAGACGAATATCAGCATGTGTGAATGCTTGGACCCCGATAATAAGACGACCGCACATTTTAAAATGATGTCTTTGCTCTTTGCCAAGATTGATGCTTTAGACCAATCAGCTGTGAAAGTTCAGTGTTGATCCAGGGACTGAAACGGTTTTTAAAGAGCAAGTCACCTCCTACCAGAGTGTTACTCCACTCCCACTTCCTGTTTGAAAAATGCCACAAATGCTGTTGCCTAGCAGACCGAGAGGGCGGAGCCTCTAACCAGCACACACACACACACACACACACACAGGCTCACAACAACATTGTGACATCATATGGTACCAGCTAACGTTCTAGGTTACCTCTTAGCCAATAGCGATGGCAGATTTAAATTCAAGTGCAGTGCAGAGTTTTTACCTGACAACGACACAACACTGACAGTTTTAGGCAGAAAATTTAAATTTTAATTAAAATGCACTAAAGTGCAAAACTACCGACTACACGTGTCTGCAGCACGATTAGACACACATTTATATAGTTTATCAGGAAAAAAAAGTAGATTTGGGGGTGACTTGCTCTTTAACTCTGACTTTTTATAAAGGAGCATGTCTTTCTAAAATCCAGATAAAGGAGATGAAATGTGACCAATAGGAATGAGGCTAATTCGATACCACTGTTCTTTTGCTAGGTAACGTTAAAATGCTGGCTCTTTGAAGTATTTTAGCATTCGTTTGCTGATAATTAGGAGAGGTTCGGGCCGTTGTGGACACAATCAGTAATAAAAAGGTCACTAAGGCTTTGGCTGAAAACTGCAGATGAGTATTTTGTTGGTCTGTTGGTGAGAATTATCGAAGGACTTGTTGGTAAATCTAGTCGGAGATTGCACAGGTGCAAAATAACAGGTTCAGAATAGAACCAAGGCTCCTAGATGTTCCACAGTAGGTCCAGTGTTCTTAGACCTGATGTGATGTACCAGAAAGCTTTGTATCGTTGGCCCAGAGGACCTTCTCCCAGATGCTCTAAGCATGGATTTAGGTGATGTCCAGTTTGCTTTTTAGGAATGGCTTCCAGCAGTGGTGTCTTCTATCCAGTCTTCTGTCAGGATGATCTTCTAGGCTTTATCTGCCTGGAGATGGTCCTCTACCCTCTGTCTGTTTGGAGATACTTGTTGAATTTAATAATGATTTATTATCACATATTAATATATTAATAAATTACTGTTGAACAGATTTACTTCATGTGGAGCGTGTGAGGTCTGAGGGTGTTGGTGAACGCCCGTGTTAGATTCTGATTTGTGTAAATCTATAAAGAATAAAAGCAGGAACACTTCCTCTAAAGTTGGCTCCAGCTAGGCCACGCGGGGTCAGCAGCACATCAACCATCCTGAAACAACTCTGTCAGGCCGACCGCCACCCGTCTCATTTTACAGCCCAGACGTCACAGTTTTCTAACACTCTTCATGAGTTTATTAACACCTGAGCTCAGATTTCATCGCTGTTCGTTCAGCCTCTCAGTTGGTGACCTTAACTCATCATTTGTTCTGCGTCTAATTATTATAAAGTGGTGATTATCTGGCGTACCCAAAGTACCCGGTTTCATCACCAATCCATTATGAAAGGTTCAATAATATTGATAATCCATATTTTTATGGAATATTGCATTTCATTGAAAACCTTTAAATGCTATTGACAATTTATTACAAGTAACCACTTAGAAAACTTTACATGGGCAAGATTCCCGATCCTCGTGTGTGTGTTCAGGGCGCTGCTCCACCGTGTCTAGCTGCATTGTTGCACGGGCGCGCCCCCTCGGGACCTTCGCTCTGCTGGGCAGGACTGGGACCGGACCTTCTCAGCAATGGCACAAGCTCCCTCTAACAGTAAAGTAAGCCCCACCTTTCCAGGTGTTTCGGTCTCACTTGAAAACCCCCCCCTTTTTTTTTCTTGGCTTTCTCCGAACATCACTGGCACGGCTTTCGTATTTTACCTGTTTTTTTAAATGTATTTATTGTTTTTTACCAGTTTTTATGTTTATTGCTTTATGCTATTTTAATCTCTTTTTTTACTAATGTCATGTCTTTCTATGTTTTTACGTACTGTTGGGCCTCCGTTAAGCTGGTCGAAGGGGCTAAATCAATACATTTTATTGATTGATGTTTTTTAGACCCGATTTTTATGGTTTTATGTTAAGAAGCTGCCAATATTTTTCAACACCTGGACAGCATTTTATTTGTTTTCAACAACATTTGATGGATATTTCCAGAGATGAAAGGTAAAAACTACACACTGTCACTTTAAAAAGATAAACAGATGTGCAGACTGACACTCCTGGTGCAGATTGACGCTCCCGGTGCGGATTGACGCTCCCGTTACAGACTGACGCTCCCGGTACAGACTGACGCTCCCAGGGCGGATTGACGCTCCCGGTGCAGACTGACGCTCCCGGTGCGGATTGACGCTCCCGGTGCAGACTGACGCTCCCGGTGCAGACTGACACTCCCGGTGCGGATTGACGCTCCCGGTGCAGACTGACGTTCCCGGTGCAGACTGACGCTCCTGGTGCGGATTGACGCTCGCGATGCAGACTGACACTCTCGGTGCGGATTGACGCTCCCGGTGCGGACTGACGCTCCCGGTGCAGACTGACACTCCCGGTGCGGATTGACGCTCCAGGTGCGGACTGACGCTCCCGGTGCGGATTGACGCTCGCGATGCAGACTGACGCTCCCGGTGCGGATTGACGCTCCCGGTGCGGACTGACGCTCCCGGTGCAGACTGACAGTCCCGGTGCGGATTGACGCTCCCGGTGCGGACTGACGTTCCCAGTGCAGACTGACGCTGCTGGTGCAGATTGACGCTCCCGGTGCAGATTGACGCTCGCGGTGCAGATGGATGCTCCCAGTGCAGATTGACGCTCGCGGTGCAGACTGACGCTCCCAGTGCAGACTGACGCTCCCGGTGCAGATTGACGCTCCCGGTGCAGATTGACGCTCGCGGTGCAGACTGACGCTCCCGGTGCAGATTGACGCTGCCGGTGCAGACTGACGCTCCCGGTGCAGATTGACGCTCGCGATGCAGACTGACGCTCCCGGTGCAGACTGACGCTCCCGGTGCAGATTGACGCTCGCGGTGCAGATTGATGCTCCCGGTGCAGATTGATGCTCCTGGTGCAGACTGACGCTGCTGTAAAGCGCTGTTCACGCACCGGGTGTGAACTGGGAGTGACGCCACGTAAAGTCACGTTTGCTCTAGAGGAACCAGCGTTTATTCCAGACGCGTTTCATCACTTCTTCAAGAGCGACTCAAAAGTAACATCATATTTTCATTAGTTAGTTTGCCTATGACCTTTGTTCAGTGAGAATTTGTTTCTCATGAACAACGATCCTTTTCCTTTCTTTGTGGTCGAGTTTTAAGTTGGTGTGAACCTGAGAGGAAATCTGATGTCATCAATAACTCCTTCTGTGTGACGCTGCTCTGAGAACACGAAGCTGGTTCCACAGCTGATGTCACAACGAACAACAGTGGTTTACTAAATTGTGGCACTTAAACCGATAAAGTTCATTCCTCATCTATGATCCTGCTGCAGACATATCAAGGTCTTCCCGAACCTCACACTCAGGAGTTCTGGGTCCTCGCTAAGTTCCTGGAGAACCTCCAGAGAAGCACCTCCTGATCAGGACCGCCACAGCTGACTCCTTTCAACAATGGGGATTAGGAGCAGCTCTACTCAGCGTGTCCCCGGATGAGGAAGGTCCTCTCCTGATCCTGGACTCACAAACGGCATTGCACATTTCAAACCCTGCATCACAGCACCGAGCCGTTCTGTCGTGCTGGACCATCTCTGCCCATCAAACCAGCGCTCCACAACAAAACACCGGGACACTTGGACTCTTCCTCCGGAGGCCGACACTCTTAAGGGGGAATTCCACCTTTTTCCAGAGGAGAACCGTAAACTCGGATTTAGAGGAGCTTCGCTCACAAACTGCCCAGAGCTCTAAAAGCATCTCAGAATGACTAAGAAGTTCCCATGTGTGGGGGCACCTGCAGCTGTAGCTTAGCATGAAGAAGGTCATTGAGCTGTAGACCTCTGTGGTCTGGAGCAGAGGAGCTGAGGGACTCGTAGGGTCAGAAGGAAACCTTCAGATCAGCAAACAAGAAGCCAGAGAGGAGAGGAGAGGAGAGGAGAGGAGACTGGTCTGATGGCTGCATTCCAAAATGAAATCATCTCTGAGTGGAATGCAGTTGCACCTCAGTTCTGACATTTCATTTGTCCTCTCCGGGCTCCCGTAGCTTGGTCTGAGGGAGGTCCAAAATGTTTGTCTCTGTTTCTAGCAAATGATCTGCTGAATGGATTTTAATGAAACATTAGATCGATGTCCAGTGTTTGGAGTCAGTCTGGTTCAAGATGGCCGCCACTGCTAATCAGCAATAACCAGCAGAAACGTTCTGCAGATGTTAGTCATGTTTGTGGGTCGGAGGCATCACCGGACCTAAACCACCCTGGAATGAAGGAACACTGATGATCCATAGCGATGGGCTGGAGGTGAAGCTTCATGCTGCAGCAGAGGTGTGAACGGGCCGGTCCTACGGTGTGAACGGATCATCGCTGCAGCTCTACAGCTGTTTGATGGGGAGGGGGAAACACCCTGAAGTCACATGACCAAGGCCACGTGCGCTCAGGTCGGTGTGCTTCCACCCAGAGGAGGAACGTGTTTTATTAAACGGATTCATTTGGAGGAAACGAGCGTGCGTGTGAGCGGATGCTGATGCAGCCTGAATCCCGAAGCCCTTCTCTCTCTTTTTTTTTGCAGTTGCATCGTTTCCATGGAGACGGGGCCGCTCCTCCACACCCACGCTGCTTACCCCTCAGCTCGCAGCAAACGAGCGAGGCAGAAAAAGAGGGAGAGAAAAAGAGAGGTGTGTTTTCTAACCCACGCATTAGAGTGGGAGACAACGTGTGCACTCTCACATGCACACACACTCCACTCTCTCTCTCACACACACACACACACTCATGTACAGGGAGTGTGTGTCATGCTGGCAGTGTGTGGGCTGAACCTAGCAGCCCTCCACTCATCCTGCCTCTCCCTCTTCTTCTTCTCGTCCCCTTCGTCTCCAGATTCTCCTCCTCTTCCTCCTCTTTTTTCCATCTCCTCTCGCTGTCCTCTGTTCCTCTCCATCACCCGTTCTTCTCAGTTTCTCATCATGAAGAGCAGCTCGCAGGCCTGGGTGAGTCTCTGCAGCGCTGTGTGTGTGTGTGTGTGTGTGTGTGTGTGTGTGTGTGTGTGTGTGTGTGTGTGTGTGTCAGTCACTTGCTGTCACTCCTGAACTTTTGAAGTCAAAACTAGGTTTTTCTTATATTTGATCTTTTTTATTCATCCTGTTTTTTCCGTCGGGTAACTTCCTTTCTCCCCTCTCCTCTCCCCATCCTCCCTCTCTTTTTTACTGCAAGCATCGTTCTGCCCTTGTTTTATTTTCTCTCCCTCTCTTATTCCATTTCATCCCCTCCCTTCATTCGTTTCCTATTTTTTCTGCTCTCCATCTTCTCCCTCTCTTCATCATGTCTTCTCTTAGCACCCCCACCCCAATTTCTTTAGCTTTCTTTGATTCATCTGCCTCTTTTTATTTCCTGTTCCTGTTTCCTCAGCATCAGTGTGTGTCTGTGTGTGTGTGTGTGTGTGTGTGTGTGTGTGTGTGTGTGTGTGTGTGTGTGTGTTATGTAACCTCAGCAGAGTGTGTAGGCCGTATTTTCAGTCTTTAGGACCCCCCCACCCCCCGCCCTCCCAGAGGAAGTAGATCCGCCTGATTTTAAAACTTTGGTGTCGTAAGAATTGTTTCCCACCTGTAAATGATCGCCTTCCTGTAGAGCGGTGGTCCCTAAATGACCTCTGACCCTTCTGAGTCTGATCCCAGAGGTCATTGCTGGTGTCTCTTCAGCTCGTGTTAACACACACCTGTGCTGATGCTGAACTTCCTGTGGAAGCGGCGAGGACGGAGTTTGCCTTTAGCTAACTTCGTTAACGGCGTTTTACAGCTCGTCTTTATTTCAGGCTGGTTTTCCAGATTCTGGAATTCTGCTGAGCTTCGGCGGATAAGAACGGATTCCCGTCGTTCCTGGGAGGAGTTCTGACCACGGCCGCCTTTCGGGGTTTGAACTAAGGTCATTTAAGGTCGAACATCAGATTTCGTCATCTGTAAAACTGACTTTCAGACATTTTGCTAATGTGGATCAGCTTTGGCGGCCATCTTGGATCAGGTTGTTTTAAACTGCTAATCAGATGTTGACGAGTGCGTTCTGAGTGCTTCGAGATGTTTAGCTAAAACATTTACGAGCTTGAATTGAAGTGGAGTGTGTTTGTGTATTTGGACGAGTGTTGCTGCCTGGTTTTGCTCGCGATGAGCTCACGTTCAGAGTTTTTGTTTATCTGCGATCGTAACTTTAACCCTCATAAGGATCCTGAGGTGTGGCTAGTTTCAGACACATCCCACATTAATGCTCCTGCGCTGAGATCCGAGTTCTGCCAGAACCGGAACGTCCGTGGAGGGACTTTACTCTTCTTCTGGTTTTTGCATTGCTCCCAGATGTTCTTCAGGTGGCAGTCGATCAGGAGGTAGAGCAAGTTGTCCAGCGTTCAAACCCCCCTTGCCTGGTGGGGTCGGAGGGACCGGTAGCGCCTGGGCTCGGCAGGCCTTGCCCCGTTGCAGCTGTGGCTGCATCGTAGCTCATCAGTGGTGGAATACTAGCTTACTGCCTATGTGTGTATACATTTACCCTTGTTATAGTTTTTCTCCTGCTGTAACAAGTGAATTTCCCCACTGAGGATCAATAAAGTCTATTTTATTCTACGAATGGGTAGCTCTGTGCTGTAAAGCGCTTTGGAGTCCTCTGACTCTGAAAGGTGCGATAGAAGGGTGGGGCGTGTGTCCTATTTTGTATTTGAGCCTTCATGCTGTGATCGGGTCGGGTCGGAGACGTGGAAAACCAACAGACCCTCTTTAGCTCCAGCGTGAGAAACTTGACGAGATAAAGTGTGTGTCAGAAGGAGGGAATACAGTGAATATTATCAGTTCCTGCCACTGGTTACCATGGTAACGGACCAGGCAGCAATATTTCCAGGACAACACACACACACACGCACGCACGCACGCACGCACGCACACACACACACACACACACACACACACACACACACACACACACACACAGGTGTCCCGTCGGATGATTTCCGTCCAGAATTACGGGAGCAAACTGTTCAGATGGTGTGAAAACGTTGGGTCGCCACAGTTCCTCAGCTGGCACATGAATGAGTTTTCTTGTTAACAAGCAGCGAATGCATGACTCCGTGTTGAGACAGGATGTAGTTCTTAATGGAAAAATTGAAATGATTTGCAGCAAAACTGTTTTCAGATTATTAGATGTGGGATTTTTCCACTTTTATTAGTCAGATCCTGTAGATTTCATGTGTTTATTTAAAGGTGCAGTATGTAAGAATGGCGTGAGAATTCTGCAGTGAGAAAATCCCAACAGAGTCTGATGTTTCAGTCATTTAGGAAGGACGGTTCTACTGAAACATGTCTCATATCCAGCTGCTGGTTTGCCCGTTGTTCTCCTTTCTAAACAAAGGAAGAAGGGACGTAACGACTGTTTAAGTGTGGGGAGTAGGGATGGGTATTTTTGACATTTGAATCGATCCGGTACTAATTCCCGGTACCTAGGAATCGATACCGGTACTTAACGGTACCAATTTTAGATACTTTTGAGTGTTTATTATTTTAATTCTCTTTTATAATTAAATATATATTTTTCTCAATATATAACCATATTTGATAAATATCACGATAAATAACATACAACTGTTTGTATTTTAACATCGTCCTTGTAGTTTTATAAGCTGATAATTAAACTGAAGCAAACATCTTTACTGTGAACTAAATTTACTGTGTATCTTCATTCCTTTTGCCGTCTTTTTTCATTCAATGTTTCCTACTGGGAAGTTAGAATTTCCGAGGAGAAAGCGAATGCACCATTAGCTGATTACAATGGTGGCAATGAAAGCTAACATATCAAGCTAACGTTGTCTTAAACAGTTTATTTAACTGCTGGAGCAGATTAAAACGATGATGCCTCACACTTAGATCGTTGTCGCTGATTTCATCTTCACCCAAATCACCCGTCGCATTTAGTAAAGTGAAGCCGAACTTAAGAGCACGTTCATGTTCTTCTAGTCGGAAATTCGGAGTTCCGAGGAGAAAGCGAACGCACCATTAGCGAAACAGAAGCTAACATATCAAGCTAACGTTATCTTAAACAGTTTATTTAACTGCTGGAGCAGATTAAAACGATGATGCCTCACACTTAGATCGTTGTCGCTGGTTTCATCTTCACCCAAATCACCCGTCGCATTTAGTAAAGTGAAGCCGAACTTAAGAGCACGTTCATGTTCTTCTAGTCGGAAATTCGGAGTTCCGAGGAGAAAGCGAACGCACCATTAGCGAAACAGAAGCTAACATATCAAGCTAACGTTATCTTAAACATTTTATTTACCTACCGGAGCAGATTAAGATGAGGATGTCTCACTTAGATCGTTGTCGCTGGTTTCTTTAAAGAGCAAGTCACCCCCAAATCAACTTTTTTTCCTGATAAACTAAATAAATGTGTGTCTAATCGTGCTGCAGACACATGTAGTCAATAGTTTAGCACTTTGGTGCATTTTAGTTAAAATTTTAATTTTCTGCCTAAAACTGTCAGTGTTGTGCCGTTGTCAGGTAAAAAATTGAATTTGCATTTGAATTTAAATCTGCCATCGCTATTGGCTAAGAGGTACCCTAGAACGTTAGCTGGTACCAAATGATGTCACAATGTCGTTGTGAGCCTGTGTGTGTGTATTTGTTAGTGGCTCTGCCCTCTCAGTCGCTAGGCAACAGCATTTGTTGCATTTTTCAAACAGGAAGTGGGAGCGGAGTAAGACTCTGGTAGGGGGTCACTTGTTCTTTATGCATCCATGCTTTCGTTCTTTTTTAAACACAGAAACAGTTTTGTTTACCTGTTAGTAGCTACAGTTTCGCCGACGGCTGCCGGCTTCTTCAGGCTGACGCTGATGGTGGCGCGTCACTTCCTTCTCCGTTTATCTGCGGGCAGCAGAGGACGTTGTCGCCCTCTACTGCCAGCTCTCCCCTCTCCGACGATGCAGTCCCATGCGTGGTCCAGCGTGTAAACTCCTTCGTCCCTGTTCATGGTCCCACATCCACGTCTCCTTATCTCGATTGCTTCCTTGATCCATCTTTTGTATTTTTGTTGTTCGGTGGTTATGATCCGTGTGTTGTCCCAGTCCATTATATGGTTTTCTCTTAAGCAATGATCTGTAACCCGTTATCAGCCACCCTGTGCGAGTTTTTCATGGAAGACCTGGAACAAAAAGCCATAGCCACCGCCCCCCCAAACTGCAAAATAAAACTATGGAAACGCTACGTGGATGACATACTAGAAATCATACCAAAAGGTCAAACAGAAACACTAACACAACACTTAAACAATATTGACGACACGGGCAACATAAAATTCACTTATGAGTTAGAAACAGAAGGCAGCATAGCATTTATGGATATGAAAATCACCAGGCAGACCGACGGGACCCTAAACATAAACACATACAGGAAACCAACACACACAGACCAATATCTATTATGGACATCAGAACACCCCACCATACACAAAATGTCAGTAATCAGAACATTATATCACCGAGCAAACATGGTAACAGAAGAGAGAGACCGTAAACAAGAGGACACATACAACACGCTTTAAAGACCTGCAGATACCCGACATGGGCAATAAACAAAGGAAAACAACAAACAAAAACAGAAAGCAAAGAACAACCCAAAAAAAGAACCAGAAACCCAGAAAGACAAGAACCAAAACCAGTGATAACCCTACCATACATCAGAGGCATAACGGAAAAAATAAGAGCAACAATGAAAAAACACAACATAAACACACCAACAAAGCCATACACAACAGTTAGAAACAGATTAGTACACCCAAAAGACAAAATATCAGCTGGACAAAAATGTGGAGTCATCTACGAAATCCCATGCAAAATATGCAATAAAACATACATAGGAGAAACCGGACGCCAACTCAATACACGGACAATAGAACACAGAAAGGAGTGTGAGAAAGAGGCAAATCGTAAACACACAAGAGCAGCAAAAGAAGAAGCAGAAAGTAC